CTGTAACAAATGCCAGGGGTGAATCAACTTGAAAAGAAACGCTTATTTGGGCTCATGGTCTCAGTTTTCAATCCCCGGTTGCTGGCCCTGTTGCTCTGACCCTTTGGTTAAGCCGAACATCATGGCAGAAACAAGTGGAAGAGCAAACTGCTCTCAGGAAAGACAGATGCTGGGCACGCCCCAGTGACCTAACATCTTCCAACTAGGTTTTGTCTCTTAAAGGTCTCAGCTCTTCTGACTGCAGGAGATTGAAGCATCAACACATGGACTTTTGGAGACACTTATTCAAGCCTTCTTACCTTTTTAAAGACAGAGTTTCACACAGCCCAGCCTGGCCCCCTGTGTGGCTAACTGAAGGCGTAAGTAACAAACAATCCCACCCCAGTTTGGAATTATGATTAATAGGATGGTTATTTATTTAAGGGGGGAAAACTTACAGATTACCGTCCCAGACAACATCCCTCTGCGCAATCTGGAAGGGAACCTAGTCACCGGAAGAGGAGCCAGAAGAGGAGCCGGAAGCCAGAGAGCTAGGGGAGAGCAGTGGCAGCTTTTTTAAAGAGAGAGAGAGAGAGAGAGAGAGAGAGAGAGAGAGAGAGAGAGAGAGAGACCATGCCCCAATGGGCTGGTATCTCAGCAACTATTGGCTGAAGGAACAGAAGCTCCCACAACAGCTAACCTTGACCTTCTGATACTTCTGCTTTTACCTCCTGGACAGGGAGGATCAAGTGCGCCTGCCAAGGTGGCCAGTTGGTACAGTGCTGGCAATCAGACCCTGGACTCTGCCCACCGAGTTACGTTCCCTGGCCCCAGACACGAGCTTTCTTATGAGTGAGACAGCGAATAGGAGTTGCCAGGGCCTGTGCCACCTTCCTGGCTAGAGTCCCAGTGTGACTTCTCAGCCCTCTCTCCCACCATTTTCACTTCTGCATCCTGCCATGTAGCCAGTATTCCCCTCCAGTTGTGTCAAACTGTCTGCTGACTCCCAAATCTACCACGATTTTGAGCATGGTCCTTCCACCCACCTTTCCTGCCAGGGAAGTTGACTCATCTTTGAAGAACTCCTCCCAACATGACCTCTAGAAAACTGTCTCACCCTAAACAAAGCCATTCTTCTGTCCTACACAGCAGCCACAGCCTGTTTCAGTGGTGGAACCATTTGGGCTGGCAGGATTGGTTTGCAATCTCAGCTCCACATGGTGTCCCACAGAGGACAAGGACTTCATTTCAGACATTTCTACTCTCGGTCCCAAGGCTTTACAACAGTTGGGATATTGACTTTTTAGGGCAGAACATTTCTTTTAGAGATATCATCACATGGGTCAGGTCTCTCATTCTACGATGTGAGTCCCAGGGCTTGAACAGGTTATCAAGCTTGACAGCAAGAACTTTTATGAGTTGAACCAATTTGCTGCTCCACAAATAAAATAAAATAAAATAATAAAAAAACTAAAAAAAACAGTATAAGCCTCCAGTATTACAATTTAGAAAAATGTCCTCAGACATGTATTGGGGGTGGATCGTTCTACTACTACTGCTGTTGCTGCTGCTGCTCTCTCTCTCTCTCACACACACACACACAGAGGGACAGAGAGACAGACGGATAGGTTCCTGGTTGGAACCGCTGCCCCAGTTCTAATAGACAGCCTGATCCTGGGTACGTAATGAATATTTGCTGAGCTAACAAAGCAATGTTTAAATTAACGAATACAAGTCTGTGCGAATCAAATGCACAATGGTAAATAAACAAACCCAACATCATGTTTTAACTTCTGTGCATTCATCAAATCAAACTTGAAGTCTTTATTCCAGCCATGGAGGCTCTTGAAGAGCAGACTCAGCCTGCTTTCTGCCCTTGTCAGCTTTTTGTTCTTGCTCTTGACCTCTGGGCTCTTCCTGTTCCCTGGCTTTGTCTGCCTTTCCTGTCACTCAAATTCTGTGCTGCCTTCAGGACAAAGACTTTCACTTCCTGCAAACGCCTTCTGCCACTCGCTTGCCCTCTTTTGGGAACGAACACATGTGCGTGTACATTGCTTTGGATCTTAGTGTTATTGATTAGTGTTTTGTTCCATAAGCACGCATACAGACTTTCTTCTTAACTGAAAAATAGCTCCTCAGAAGGAGGGTTCGCTCCTTCCAGGCTTTTCTTCCCCTTACCCCTGCTGGGAGCTGGAAGAACAGATGTTTGCTTTGCTTGAAGCACACACTGCTCTAAGTAACTAGCAGATGTGTTCAATCTGTGCTTTGCATTGAAGAGGCAAAGGGATAAACTCTTTAATAACTTGCTGTTTTTAGATAAATTCATTCAAACAAATATGAATAGAAAGAGTTTGCGAATGTTTTTAGAATTTCTGTGAGAAGGCATGGAATATACTCCCCCGCCCCCCACCCCCACCCCGCACCTAAGAAATACAGAAATTCATACATTTTTCCTTTTCTTCAATCTTGCTTGTGCTCAGACTCCACTCAGGACTTCTCTACAGTGGCAAACAGTTTGAGACACTGGGTGTGATAGCGCATGCCTGTAATACTAGTACTTGGAAGGTAGAGGCAGGAGGATCACGAGTTTAAGGCCAGCCTGGCTTATATGAGAGCCTGTCTCAAAAGATAAACCAAACTAAATCAAACCGCCACTGCCACCACCACAAGAACCCTTCCTCAAGTTGCTTCTAGGCAGGTATTTGGCCATAGCAACAAGTTACTAATCGCTTCCTCCTATCGTTGTTGTTGTTCTCAAGCTGGACGTACAATCTTTTTTTATTATTGTTTTTTAATTATTATTATTATTTTACTTTACATATCAACCAGTTTTCCCTCCCTCCTCTCCTCCCACTCCCTCCCCTCCAACCTACCTCCTTTTTACCCTATCCCCCATCCTCTCCCTTCCTCCATCTTTTTTTTTTTTTTTTTGATTTTTGAGACAGGATTTCTCTGTAGCTTTTTTGGTTCCTGTCCTGGAACTAGCTCTTCTAGACCAGGCTGGCCTCGAACTCACAGAGATCCGCCTGCTTCTGCCTCCCAAGTGCTGGGATTAAAGGCGTGCGCTACCACTGCCCAACTTTGTCTTACTCTTTTTAAAAATAAAATCTTATTTGTTATTATGTATATGCATACTGTGTCTTTGTACATGTACATGTCACAGTGAGTTATGTGAAGGGCAAAGGGCAAATTTATGGAGTTGGTTCTCTCCATCCACCTCCCTGTAAAAAAAAATAATAATAAATGCATGTGTATGGGAGTTTTGGCTGCATGTATGTTGGTGTCTCGCATGCATATGTGGTGGTTGCAGAAATCGGAAGAGGCCATCAGATCCCCTGGAACAGTAGTTTCAATGGCAATGAACTACACACCATGTGGGTGGAGAATCAACGCAAAGCCCTCTGCAAGAACAGCCAGTACTCGAAACTGCGGAGCCATCTCTCCACCCCTTCCCTTCCACCTCAGCAGTCTTTGCCCAGAGTCACCTTGCCAGCCCCACTTCCTTATTTTCTTTTTCCCCCTACTTTCCTTATTTTCATGTCAATAGATAACCAAGCTGTCATACAAGCTTTCCTGAATCACCAGTTCTTGGTTCTGAAGGCAGCAGAAGAGTCGATAATCAAATCTGGAATTCAAGGTTCCTTTCACAGCTTCTCCATGCCAGGCTTTCCCTCAGCGCCTAGGTTCTCACTGCTGCATTGACGCGTGAGCATGGGCCAGCCCCACCGGCTTCACTGTAGCCTTGGCGAGGGTCCTATAGTCTTTCCCCAACTACAGAGTTAAAGTCTTGCTCAAAGGTTCTTCTGAAACAGGTTTACCCAGGGCTCTAAGCAAAGGCAGATCAGTGTCTCCTATGTTCAACAGTGCCTCACCCTCTATTCCTCGAGAATATAATACGTGGATTGCCATGCTAGCTGCTGAGCTGAGGAAGCCCCTGGTCCATGGAGTACAAGCAATGTGATTCTTTGTTGACCATCCACCCATCCCAGATATCATTCTGAGACTGCCATGCTTACAAACCTGAACAATATAACTTCATACAGAAGCACCCATGCGTGCGGCAGGCACGACACAGACATTGGGAATCACTAAGCGTCTGATAGTCTTGGGCTTTAGGTATGTGATTAAATTGTGTCTTTGACTATTTTCGTCTTTAAAGTTGCAGGGCTCGATAACAACTTAGTTGGTGTCTAATAATCTGCTGAATGAGTGAACTGATTCCTGGAAATCAGTGGGAGGCACACCTGGGACTGTCTCCCGATTTTAAAGGTATCAGTTGCAGATATTTTGTAATATTCTCTTCCTCACAAAGCATTTTCAGAAGAGATGACCACACAGCAGCACAGAAGGCAGCTAAGGCCCAGCATAGCCTGCAGGGGTCCTGTGGGGATGCCGCCCTGCACATCATAGTACTGTTTCTGCTCTGACACATGGCCATCATAGGACAATTTTTTGCCTATGTCTCCTTCCACCTTTATATGGGTCCCGGGGATTGAACCCAGGCCATCAGGCTCGTGCAGCAAGCACTTTGACCTGGTGAACATCTTGATGTTCCCCCTCCCATTTTTCCTTTCCATCGGCTGTGTGTCGCAGCATCACCGTCACCTACCTTCTGATCTTGTAGGTCCGAAAGCACAGATGAGAGAAGGGCTGGGCCAATCCTCCCGAAGAAGACAAACTCCTGAAGATTTTCAAATTTGCCAACCTTGAGGTGAGTGCTCACTCAGCTGGAAAATGTCTTACATGACCATGACCATGAGAACACAAAGGCCCAGTTTGCTTTAAAGTCTTTATTATCCTGAATATAAAAGACAGAAGTCCTCTAGGATATAACAGAGTTTTTTTTGTTTTTTTTTTTTTAAATGTGGAAACATTATTTTTTTATTTTTTACAAGTGAAAAAATAAATACCTCTTGGAATAAAGGCTTATATGCTAATGTGCCATAAAAAAGTAGAGTTTTAATATCTGACAAAATGTCTGTGCAAAGAAACAAATGCATAAACACATCGCTGCTACATTAAGGCAGTATGAAACGCAGACGCAGAAATCTCGGTAAAGTGACGGTGTAGGTTTCTAGCTTCACTAGCTAGTATTGCACCCGATGAGGTCAGCTAGGTTTCCTGACGGCCTAGAAAACCCCCTAGCTCACTAGCTTCCAAAATGCCCAAGTGGGGGTGGAAAGATGATCAAGACTATGGCAACAGAACACACTAACCCCCGCCTCTGGAAGATGCAGCGCAGGGGCAACACAAAGAATACGGAAGCACCGACAAGAAAACATGAACGAAGTGAAATAAAACACACACAGAAGGGACGCTGTCTAAAGACCCATGGTAAGGCTGTAGAAGGTTTGATCTTCAAGCAAGGCGACACCCAGGGGTGCAGCTGGAGTGAGTGCTTAGGGAAAGTGAGGAAGCGCCTGAGCACACACCAGGAGCCTCTCCGACACTCTCGCCCAGTCTGTCTATCTGCGAACTTTCCCTTTCTAATCTCAAAATAGTCCACCAGCTCAAAAGCCCAGTGAATGCACGACTATGCCCTTAAAGTCGTTTAACCAAACTGGTAGCCCCCCAAAGGCCTGGGATTTGGGGTATGGGAAAGAAGGGCCAAGAAGTCACCCACATTGAGTTACCTGTCTGCTCAGCCACACTGGTTCAACCCGACCACATGCCAGCCCTCGAGAAGTCACAGGACTGCTTTTCAATCTGCTAGCTTCCCAGTCGTTCTTGAACGAGTTATAAAGACAGAACTGACATTATAACGACGACTATTTCTTTAAGGAAAAAATGTCCTATTACAAATGTTCAGCGCTCCGTGACCATACAAAAAGAACCAAGGAAAAGTTTAAAACTCTTATAAAATCTGCCGCCTCAGGAGAAGTTAAGGAGACGTATGACATCACTTCCTAAAAGGTACCCACTGTTGGGCTATGGTGCCACTTAACTGACAAGACAATTGTATCTACTCCTTTACTTGGTCATTAAAAAATAAAATCAAACAAACCCAAAGTCCAAGAAGGAATGTATCTACGTCCCAGAGGTCTTCCGGTTGCCCCTGGGGCTGTTGCTTCTACTCACAGAAGAGGAGTGATGGCATTCTTGCTTTTCTTCATTTCTGAAATGTCTTATGGCAGGTGGGTGTTGAGAGTGAGATGTTTCCTCACAAGGTTCATATTCTTATAGTTTACAATGCTGCAGCTCACGGGGACCTGGCATGCCCGGTAAGCACAGGATACATCAGATGACAGTCAGATTGGCTCGTGGGGACATGGCATGTCCAGTAATCACAGGACGCGTTAGATGACAGTTAGATTGAGGAGACTGGTGTGGGTTGGCAGGTAGACATGCTGGACATGCTCCACACGTGATCTGCAGACTGGACATGACTGGAAAAGAAGTCAACATTGGTTAGAATGTTTAACAGACCTGGGCCCAGGAGGTCAACCTTTGTTGACCGAGGTTTCTGTCTCGCCCAGTTCCTGCAATCATTAAGTCCCAAGGAAATCACACAGAGGACTATATTAATCATAAACTGGTTCGCCTACTAGCTCAGGCTTCTTATTAACTCTTATAACTTACATTAGCCCATAATACTTGTCTGTGTTAGCCATGTAGCTTGGTACCTTTTTTGGCAAGACAGTCACATCTTGCTTGCTTTGTGTCTGGCTTCTTCTGTGTCTGGCTTCTTCTGTGTCTGGGTGACAGCTTCATACTGCAATTTTCCTCTTCCCAGAATTCTCGTTGTCCCACTTCTACTTCCTGCCTGGTCACCCCGCCTATACTTCCTGCCCGACTACTGGTCAATCAGCATTTATTTAAAATACAAATGACAGGGTACAGACCATTTCCCCATGACAAACCTTGGCACCCACCACACTGTTTTCTAGATAAGCTGCCATTTCAATTTTGATTTCTAGGCTCTCAGTTGTTCTGTAGCAGGCTTGAACGTTTACACTTTACAAGGACTGAAAATGAGTTCTATGAAAAGACTATCACTAAAGAAAATTACATTTTCTGGCTAACTGTGTGTGTATGCGTTCTGCCTCTTTTTGGAGACAAGGTCTCTCCCTGGCATGGAGAGCACTGGCAGGTGACCCCCAGGGTCCTCCTGTCTCCATTTCCCCAGCGCCAGGATTAAGAACCCCTGCAATTGTTCCTTTCTCACCACACCCTCCCCCATCCACCTTTTTAGTTACACTGGCTTTAGGGACTGAATTCAGGTCCCTGTGCCTTGCAATGCAGACAGTTTATTGGCTCAGCCAATCAGCCAGGTCCCCAATCCTCTGTTAACTCAGCTTTCCTTCCCGCATACATAGGAGGAGGTCACTGCACCTCTGCCACCATGTTAGAGATATGTCTTTGATAGGCCTTAGCTAAGGTTTCTTGGGGTCAAGACCAGTGGGCAGATGCCCTGTAGCCAGGGGCAACAGGTATCTCTGGTGGCTTCTTGACCAGCACACATCCTTCATTGGCCATAAGGGAAGATAGGTACAGGGTCAGACTAGGTGGGCAGGAATTGATAAGCCCAGGACTCAGAGGGGAAACCCTGCTTGTAGCAGCACAGGCTCCTGAGCTCACTGTCCAATCCTAACAGTAGCTCTGTCACCGCAGCCTGTAAGGACTAGGTGACAGGCAGGCTAGGTTTACCCACAAGGACATTTAGCAGAAACTTCTGAAATGTGAAACCAAAAGTAAAATTTACGGTAAGAGGAAATGTAAGATGCAAAAAAGGATACATGCTATATAAGAGTTGCTTTTATTATTATTTTTAGTATGAAAGTTAGTTTGACTTGAGAGCAGATAATGGCCAACAGAATTCCCTAAAATATAAACTGTAATAAAAGGAAATTAATGGGCTGGTGAGATGGCTCAGAGGGTAAAGATGCTTACAGCCAAGCCTAACAAACTGAGTTTGATTCCCAGCAACATAGGTAGAAAGGAAAGGATTGACTCCTGCAAATTGTTCTCTGACCTCCACATGTGCACGTTCTCTCTCTCTCTCTCTCTCTCTCTCTCTCTCTCTCTCTCTC